GTTATGGCCCATTTACACGAGGCCAGTTGTGAAGACATTCCATTAAGCCAATCCAATGACAAAGTTGAGGACAATCCAATAAAAATTCAATTGAAGTTTACACGTAGGCCAGTCCGTCATCCGCCAGGCTAGTATCTTTGTATAATCTATGTGGTCTAGTATATACGGTTGTGTAGAATGGATAGGCTAGGGCTAGGCTAGGCTTGGCTAGGAACGTACGTTCTCACAAATGCCATTACACAAGCCAATCCACTTCTTGAGTGGTGGGGGACGCTATTGGCTCCTAAAATTAGAAACCGTTCTAATTAGTGGAGTGGCTTGGGACAGTGGCTGGAGACATTCCATTTACAGGACTGTCTCATTTACACGATGCCAATGTTGGATTGGCTTAATGGAATGTCTTCACAACTGGCCTTGTGTAAATGGGTCATAAAGGGAGGTAATAAGTAAAATATATTGACGCATTCATTAGAATAAAAGTAATTGCTTTGTGTAGTGTGTACGCTCAAGCAGTGACCTGTGAAAACATGACGTCACTCATAGGTGCCTTATTAGATTCAAGGTCAAAAGTACTTTTCCCGACATGTCCGGACATTTCATCGATATGTCCATAACACACTTTTCCGAAAAGTGCCCATCTCTAATTTTTAGTGGTACTTTTCAGCTTTTTTTTTATTTAATTGTGGGTAATTTTTATACAATAGTTTTTATAAAAGAAAAATTCCAATTATAAATTATACATAGCCATTTTTTGGAAAAGTTGGGGTTGAATTCAATCGATTTAATATTAAAGTAATTGTGTAGTATGATCGTTATTCTATCGTCTTAAATAAATTATATATTGTTTGTATTTGGATGAAGTTTTAATCTGCTCCATACTGTGGTAAATAATAAACAAAAAAATCATAATAAAATTTATTATATAGGTATTTTATACATTATAAATTAGGTATGTACAAAGTTCACATAATTTTTTTTATCACAGTTTTATTAGATAACTGAGTAATAAAAATTATTAAACGGGGGTTACAAACTAGCGGGAGCTACTTGGGAAAGAATTTGGAATGTCTCGTAACGTTAAGTGCACTTTGAAATTTGGCATCCTCCATCACACGATCAACAACAAAATAGATCACAGCTCGTCTTTCAGGCTGTAATCTTTACTGTGACTCGGTTTCAGGTTTAGTTTCTTCAAGGTATTCTCTACAGGTACATGATTCTGGGGTGAGTGAGCGAATAAAAAGTGCAATTGGCGCAAGTGCCTCAGTCTATGCAGGAGCACCTGTTTTTTCCGCTTGTTGGACCGTCGCCAGTCTTTTAATGTCCTGTCGATCATCGCCAATGTCTCGCCTTGCAGCGAAGTAAAGCAATTCAACTTTTCTTCTTCAAACTGTAAAAAATTTCCAGGAAATTAAAAGTAGTTGTCTAATACAAAAACAAAAAATATTTTACCTTAACTTGACTGCATATTGCCCACATTGCCTGTAACTTCCTAGCCTGGTCGAGATTTGTCAAGATGAATCCTAGGAGATTGGGCACAGTCACAGGAATATTAATGGGAAACACCCTACTCTCGGATTTTCTAAAACGACACGTTTAAATTATTGCGATCTTAAGCTTACTACTTACTCACTCTCTGGCTGGAAAGAAGAGTATGGTGGGATAGGTATCCATGGTATACTCCCAGGGTAAGATGTTAACATCTCCGTCGATCCGGGCAAAAAGGAGATTTTCGACCTGCGACAACTTTTTGGCAACTGTAAGGAACGTGTAGGAGATTCCGCTGCAGAATGTGCACTGTTTCGAGTAATAGAAGACAATTACAGCCTAAAAAATATAAAAAATTATCACGTCTTTTTTTTAGAATTAGGAACATTCATTTACGTGGACACTGTCTTATGGGTTGCCAACCATTAGTTGACTCGTGTAAATGTAAATCTACATTAGATTTAATTGCAACAAAATGATAATACAAATATTTCTCTATCATAAAAAAAATCAACGGAAGAAAATTTATAAATTATTGGTTTTTTTAGAAAGGCCTATGGACTTAAAAAAATTTTTTTTGGTAATTTCATCATAAAACTCAGATAATTTATTTCTCTTCAATTTGAGCGGTTCCGGAGCCTTGTACGATTATTTATCGCTGAGTTATTGTCGATCAAAGCAAAAAAAAACCATTTTTGACTTTGACAATCAATTACTCGGGAAATAATGGTCGTACAGAAAATCCTAGGAGGGTTTTGAAAACTGCAAAGTACAAGTCGTAATTATGGGTTTTTGATAAAAAAATTTTTTTCAGTGAAAATGTTGGTTAGTAAATAATTGTATAATTAGGGATATTTGAATAACTTGGCATAACTTTGCAAATAATGAATAAACTAAGGATATCGACTGTAACTTTCAACCTCAAGGTGTCCTAAAGAAACCCTGATAATTTCAATATGCTGCGAATTTTTTTTCCTAGTACCCGGAATGTTTAAATTTGTCGTTTTGCTGAAAATCAATGTAATAAGTAATTCTTCACTTTCTATTCATTTTTTTAAGTTAAAAATGTTTTTTAGCAATAATCCATATTTTCTTCATCAAAAAAACGTTCATGATTCCAAAAAATTGAAAATTTTTTTTTCAAAATTTTTGTTTAACATATCCACAAATTTGGTACATGCTTTGCATTTATTGCTATCTTTAATTGGTAAAAATATGAATTTTATTATTATTAAAATGATATCGATTTTTTTATCGATATACCAATTATTAAATAATTTTACCAGTATTATAGGAAATTGAATTTAAAAAATTTTTTTACTCTTAGAAATTTTTCGATAAAATAAAACTTTTTGAGAAAATCGGGATTTTGTGAAACAGCATTAGGTATTACTAACCGAATCGGACAAAAAGTAAAGTATGCAGTTTTACGACTAGTAGGCTATGATTTCATATCTCCAAAATAGATATGTAACAAAAATTAAATAATTTTTCGAATTGGAGAGCAAATAACAAGATTACAGCTGATTTAAAAAAAAGATTTTCAATTTTTTTGAATAAATAATTAAATTTGATTAACTAAAAATGGAGATAGGGACGCTAATTTACTTAATTATTGGTTCGTTTTTTTGGTCTGGATATTAAAATATTGTCTATGCCTCCACTGGACAGCACCCAGATCACAGTTGTATTGGTGTTGCCAGTTGTTACCATCGAAAACTATGAAACTAATGGAGTGGTATATATGACTGCGACATGTTTTAAAGTCACTATTTTTTTTGATGTCATTGCAAATGAAATGCCTAATATTAAAAAAAATTTCTAGTGTTTTAAAAAAAAAATACTTTTTGCATGACTCGTTAAATATTAACTAGTATTGAGTATGTAAATAGGCATATGTTGCTTTATAAATGTCCAAAATAAAAATAAATAAAAATAATTCTTTTAAATTAATTTCAAGTTTTCGAAAAGAGTATTAATCACTTTTAAAGCAGTGTGTTTAGTTTGTGAATTCCTGTATAGATACTATAGAACTATGCTAGTCACTGTACATATTCCAACAAAGTAAACAAATGCACGAAGCTACTTTGTGATCATAAAAGCAGACAAGGACGCATTTAGGAAAATTAAAACAGGTACTATTAAAGAGTTATAAAGTTCTAAACAAAATACAGTATGTTTTTATTTTTTTTCTCTTATTCACCCTCTTCATCAGCTGAATAGATGCAATTAATCCTAAATAGCAATAAAATTAAGGGGTTACACTACTGTAAAATTTTCAAAAAATCGTGTTTTTTTTTTTCTTAAAAGGTAGTTTGAACCTCCTAGAATATAAGGCAAAAGGTTTTATACATGAAAAACATTTTTTTTTGTTTAATTTTGCGCTTTTCATGAAGCGTGTCAGGCGTCTCTCATACAGCTACCTGCGCTATGAACATACTTGCTCGTAAGGTACCGCGTACGTTCTTACCTAGTGATTTATAACTTCTCTAATACACTCATAGATATCGTTAGGGAGTATACGTGTACAATTCAAGCAAAATTTTCTAACAAAAGTGCGTAAAGTGTAGCGTCAGTGTACGTTCATGTCAAAAACTCATTTTAAAACTTTAAACGCGTTTTTCTCAAAACACGCTTTTTCAAAACGGCACGCACGATAACTGCAACAATTTTCAATATTTTCGTTTGAAATTTTAGCCACATATTTAAAACAACATTTTGAAGATAAACACGTACGGATTTTTCGATAAGTTGATTTAAACAATTGTTATAAACAAATAACTGCCCTTTTTTTTCGTAAAAATTTAATGTTTTACTTCAAACACTTGCCAATTTTACAAAAAAAACATTTTTACCATCCCGCACGTGTTTCTCTAGCTTTACTCATGTAGATTAAAAGCAATTTTTTATTTTTCATTCCGCCTTGAAATTTGCACTAGATCTAGTGCATGCCACGGAACGCCTCGACAGCAACATGTTTCAGAAGAATAGCTCCAGTGCCGCCATTTTGAAATATTTTTTAATGAAAACATTTTTCTGTACACTTAATACATGCCTAAAAACATATTTAAACAGTTTTTTCTATTACTTTTTCTTCTATTAAAAAAAAATGTCGAAAACACTATTTTTAGGCTGTTACAGTGGTGTAACCACTATTTACAGGACTGGAAGAATCAAGTTTACTTTATAGCTGTGAAATCTCAACACGGTGGTAGACGGACAAAGAACAAATCATAAAAAAAAGAATTTATCAGTTTCTGAAAGTGGCTTCCATATAAATATTATCCTCATTCAAAGTTATACCCTGTAGAATCCTGAGGATGTTGTAATAAAAATGACGATATGTCAACAAAGTGTAATCGTAATTCTTTTGTTACACTTACTGACTTAATTCAGATCAAAAATGAAATATTAGTAATCAGCGACACGACATCCAGTTGGCAACACCTTGAAAATTATAACCGATTACAATTTAAATTTGAATTTAAGAAATTCCCTAATAATTTTGAGTTTTCCAGATTGGTATATACCCTAAATTAAATTAAAACTCATATTCTTACCTTATCTTCTTGTAAGACGGTTGGCAGAAATGAATCGGTTTCTAATTCCTCAATGAAAACTTTTGCCTTATCTTCCAGTTTCCCCTTTTTTCTTCTAGGTGCTAAATTTTGAGCATTCTTAAGAGTAGTTACAGAATTAAGAGATCTTGATAGCTGGTTATTAGTGAACTTTACAATAAACTCACTTAAAGTTAGAGTATTGATAGGTCCTTGCAAAATATAATGAGACTCCATCTAAAAACGAGAAAAATAAATTTTGTTCCTTAGAATGTATTGCATTATCTGGTTCATTCATACCTTTTCATTTATTATGGCTACGGCGCTCTTATCTTTACTACTTGTAACGTCAATACCGAGTCTTTCAGCAAAGTGGTAGAACAATAAGCTATCCATAGCCACGAAGGTTAAACTTTTATTAGTTCTGCAAGCTAAACCACTGATGTTATCTTTTCTTTCATCTCCAATTTTCCTCTCGAAAATCGCAGGTTGTAGGGTTTCTGCATATACAAATTCTTTACACTTACTCCTTTTCCACAACTTGAGCAAGTTCGAAGGCGATCTCTCGTCATTTTCACCTACAAATAATAAATGGTTTTTAATACCTCAAATAAGATGTTTACATTTTTTACCAGTTAACATAGAAGTTTTGAAAATACTTTCGACTCTTCCCTCACAAATTTTCTCTAAGTACTCTGGTCCCATAGGAGCAAATTCCACGCATTCGTTAGGTTGCAAGTCGGAACAAAAGTCGTTAACTTTATAATTTTGAAGTGTGCAATCCTTGCGAATCCCCTGCTTTTGGTGGCAGTGGGAATGATTGGCCCAAATATGGTGATTCAGGTGGGAAGTTATCTTCCTCTTTGAAATATCTTCCTCCGACAAACACTTCACTTTTAAGTTGTTATACCGCAGGACGTTAGCTGGAAAAAATTTATAAACATATTTATTTCCACGGGCAAATGTTAGAATAAATTACCTGATCTTTGCAATTTGACGTTTATGTTATGTAAACTGATCAACAAGTTATCTTCGCAGCTGTAATACTTATGAGCGATTTCCTGTAACTACAATTTAGTTGATATTAGAAAATAAGCAGTAAGAACAAAGTGCTGCTGTAAAGTAAAAAAACAAAGTCAAATTAGTTTTCTTTAATAAAAACATTTGTACTGGCAACTAACCATCTTATAGTAGTCGGTAATGCTTTGTAAAGGATTCTTCGGTGTGAACAAGATAAGCGAGGGTCCCTCTTGGATGCTATTGGAAAGTATAAGACTCTTACTGCCTACTGGCGCCACCCAAGCGGTCACCTGATGGAAGCTTTTGAAAAGCCACTGCAATATTTCGTCAGGTCTCCAACCCTTTTCTTGGACTGGGTAAACCTAATGCAAGAATAATAAGTTATAATTGCATCTACTGTTATAAAACAGAGAATGCTCTCAATGTGCGCCTGACAATGTCTATTGATGTTCGGCCACTAAAAAACCACCGCGTGTTAACGTTCTCTTCAGAAACGCTGCAAAAGGAAAGCATTTTTCTGAATTTTTTCAAATTTCGTACTACCCGAGCGGCACGTCACATGTTAATAACTACTTTTTAAATATTGATTCTGTAAATATGGGTCATTTAATGAAAAGAACATTTATGAAAATGTTCAACAGTTTCAAAAAATATATGATATTTCATGTTTCTTCATTTAGAAATTTTTCCATGTAGAAAAATTAAATAAAAGTAAATAAATAAATAAAATTATAAATTCGCAAGTCTTTCGTGTTTATGTACGTTATTCTCCTTTATGATAAATTCTGTACAAATAAATTCTCAAGCATTTTACAACCCTAAATACATCGATATAAATAAAATAGACTTACCAGGGTCTCATTCCATAAGTGAAGGTAAAGTAAAGGTTCAGAAACAGGAGTAGGATGTACGTAGAAGGATATAGACTGTTGAGGATCCTTCTCTAAATATTTTAGAGCGGTCGTATACACAACCGCAAAATCCAGACTTCCAGGAGACGTATTCACATTCACAATTAAGTAAGCCTAAAAAATTGAAAGAATTTACACCAACTTACACGGTGCACTAAAAGATTACTAACATCTTCGAATTCTATGGGATGTTCTTCACTAAGTCTTGTAATAGGATTGCATACTTTCTGTAGAAAATTTATCATATGTGGGGCGCTAACAGGTCCGTTATATTGCACACCTCTCCCATGAGATGGATAGGCTATCAGAACCGGCCACCTATATACCTTGCTGTACTGATTCCTGCATTCGCTGTTAGGCTGCCAGCAGTTGACCGCCACAAAGGTTACATAGTCGGATATATACTTGGCCGTGGCTTCAAATTCTTGTCGTGCGGCTTGACTCTCTGCGTCCCATGGAGCGTAAAACATTACAAATGCTATGTCTGATGACCTGGCATGTTCTATGGCTTTGCTTATTTGGCCTCGGTACCAATCAGTAATGATCGAATCTTTAGGAAAGAATGGGTAAGCGGCTGGGGCTTTAGAAATTTTTGGTGGGCTGAAAATTTCATTCGTGACTCCTTTTCCCAAATGATTTAAAATTAGTACTTACTCTTTGGTGAGCGCGGCATATGTTATCATCAGAAGGCAAACAATGGCAATTTCTCTACACAAATTTAACATTCTTATAGCAAAAGTGGGAATATCGTTTTCATTAAGCTCTTGAAACTCGAGAGTAGGCCTCGATGTCTCCTCGTTGTTGTCGCTATCTGTGGAGCAATTTGAATTGGTCTCGTCGATAGCATTATCGCCAGTTCCGTGGCTCGAATCTGGCAGTATGTTAGCCGCCGTGGCCGATATTTTTGTCAAAGACATGCCCGTACCGCTTCATTACATACGAGTAACACTATCTGGAACTTTACAACATTATCTTTAATCTTGCAAGTAAACGGGGATAATTAAATTAAACAAATAAGTATCAGATTGACATAATAACGTAACCTATAACGTGTCAGACGTCAAAATAATTTCTCATCTGCCAATAGGAAATGGGAATTAGGAGTAATTCTATTTGATATAATTTGTCAACAATTTTGAAAGTAGAAGACCAGCCTTATAAGAACCTTGCATATTAAGTTGCCTAGACTTAGTAGTTCGAAATAGCAAACATCATAACATTTTTAAAAACCTACTGTCAGATAATTGTTAAGGTTAGCTCATCTGGAAAGCGCCACGTACACGTATGTCATAACTAGTGAAGGGCAAAACGGGTCATTTTTAGGATTCGGTTCACCGGATCCGGGTCTCTTCAATGAGCCGAATCTATGATCCGGATCCCGGGTCGTCGGGTCGGTCGCTTCGTTCTGGATCCGACGTTGACTGAACGGTTCTGGTTGTGGGACTGTATTAGAATCTGGGGAATTAGTGCTGGGCGATAATATCCGATGTTTGGAAAGCATCGATGTTTTTCTGTCGATGGTTTGTCAATTGTCATCGATGTTAGAAAGTTCGAAACATCGATTCCAATATCGATGTTTGCCTTTCGATGTTACTTGCATACATCGCAAAAAAGAGCAGTTCTTTAGTAGTAGTAATATTTTATTTGACACAATTGACACAAATCAAATATAATAGTATATTACATTATAGATAAGCATAAGGCCGTTATATAGGTATATTTTATGTTTTCTTGAACCTTTTGAATCTAAAAAAATTGTTGTTGTTGTTGTTAGACATGAAGATCCATTGCTGTGGTGGTATGAAAGGAAAAATATATATCCAAAATTATATCATAAATAGCTATTATATCCACTTATCAAAAAATAAAAAAACGATTTAAATAAATAAAATATATCCTTAAAGGTTGCAAGGTAAGTTAGTAGAAAGATAGGTATCTAAATATCTACTAAATCCTATAGTCTACATTATTTTTCACATAATAATTCACTTGACATGAGAGAATAAAACTGTTTTTATTTTACTAAACAAAATCGAGCAGCTGATGGAAATAACGAGCCAATAAAATATATCATAATCATCTGATGTCACCGCTCTCGCTACTGCAGGTGGCTCAGCCGCATGAATGGGCAGAACGGGTCATCATAATGATTGATCTAGATGACCCGGGTCACTAAAATACACGAGTCTTCCCATCACTACATACGGGTCTCGGGAGCGGCGGCGTACTCCGTAAACCTCTGCGATCAATTTCATTACATAGTGCCACAGCACGGCCATACGAGATTAGCTGAGGTCCGCGACCCGAGTGATCCGACAGAACTTATATCGGGATTCGGGTCAGTCAGATCATCGTAAAGATCCGAATCTTTGATCCGGGTCAGACCCGACCCGCCCATCACTAGTCATAACTAAAATATAAAAATTCTAAATGTTACTAACTATTTCTCTGTCAAATTATTTGTTTTTAAATTTTGTGAAGTTAATTTCAATTTTTTTTATCAGTATCTTCTATTATTAGAATGTGGACTGCTTTTACCGATATGAATTTAGTTACAAATATAAGTTTTTTATTGTTATTTTCTTGTGTTGTTAACTTATGTAAGATGTATCTGTGTTTTTTCTTGTATTTTCTTGTCATCTTGCTTTGTAATTGGGTTTATACCTGTAAGGCAAGAACTTCTTAAATAAATAAATAAATAAATAAATAAATAAGTTGTGAAAAGAACCAGGTGCAAAACAAAATGAGTGAATCTTAACAAGGAACTCTGTTTACTCTGTACCATTTTATCGAATTTTGACAATCAATAATAATAACCAGCCCTGATGTCATTGTCAGTGTCATTGTTCCATTTACATAGGTGTAATGAGAAATTCTGGGATAGACGTGATTCTCACTTGACTTACCTTTTGTTAATGTACACCTTGGATTAGTGTATCAGAACTACTCAACTCAAGTTGTCGGCGACGTCGGCGTTGTCGCGCAGATTTTGATTTGTGTGGTTATGTCCATAAGAAATCAAAATAGTTTTTCCGTTACTTTGCCTTTTAAATATTCTTTAATAAAAGAAAAATATTTTAAATAATATGGATTCACCTGAGGCTCAAACTTCAAACGAATATTACAAAATAATGTAAGTTATAATATGAACTTCTAACGAAAATTAAATAAATTATTTTAGCTGCAGAAATTACCCATCCGAATTCATTTTGGATAAGAATTTAGCCAAAGAATATTTTCGACAGTTTGGAAAACTAAAGAGATTAACCTTTAAACCTAAACTAAGAATATGTACCGTGGAATATGCAAATAGAGATAGTTATTTGAATGCCCTAAATAATGCAGGTGAATACAAAGGTACAATTTTTAAAGTGTCTAGTGAGAAATCACCGGAGTCTAAGAAAAGGAAAATGAAAAATCCAGAGCCCATTTGGGTAGATGATGATGAAGTTGGTGCTGAGTTAGCTGCAATGGGAGGTTTTGCTCCTAAGGGTTATACCTTTCCTGATGGTAATGTTGTTTTTTAATAGCATTCCCCTAATTAAAAAAGAATCTTTGTAGTAACTTCCACCGAAATTCTAAGTGAGGTGTCAAGAGTTGAAAAGGTACCTAAACTAAAACGTTCTTGGGCCACTGACATGCAAAGATTGAAGAAAAAACCTAAAATTAAAGAAAAAACCTCACAAAAAGCACAGTGAGTAATACATGTTTTTTTTAATTTTGTTTATCATTTAGGAGTCAAAATTTACTGATAGTTGATGTATTTTTAGTACAGAGGAAATGTCGAAATATGTCGAACTTATAAGTATAATAAAATCTCAAGCTGTTACAGTAGAAGAGAAGTTTAAGGTGTTAGATGCAAGAGATAAATTGATCAGGATAAAATCGAAGCAGAAAATTAAACTAAAATCATCCCCTACTATTGGAACATGTCCCGATATGTGTCCAGAGAAAGAAAGACTTATGCGTGAGACGAAGCATCAGGTATATTATTTTTAAATTTCCATATTTATAATATCCTTATGTTTTCTGTAGGTGGCTCTATATGAACAAGAAGATAATGGAAGATCGATGAATCAGTCCAAGGCCATCAAACAATATTCTCGCAGTTCAGCTGATCAAGAATCCCCATTGCCTCACGAACTAAGACCTGTGTCTGTCTTGCAAATGACGATGTCCTACTTAATGCACAACATCATTGATATGTGTGAGACTAACGATGTAAGTAAGAATCGATTAATAACTCGTATTCTATTTATACCACAACTATTATTAGGTCAATTTGGCAGAGTGGTACCATTTCATGTGGGACAGGACACGGGGAATACGCAAAGACATAACCCAACAAGAGCTCTGCAGTCAAGGTGCCGTGGAATTAATCGAACAGTGTGCTCGTTTTCATATACACTGTTCTGCGAGACTGGTAGCAGAGGACCCTTCTGTTTTTGATCAGAAAATTAACACCGAGAACTTAACCAAATGCTTGCAGTCTCTAAAGTACATGTACCATGATTTGCAACTGAAAGGCGAGAAGTGCCCTAATGAGGCTGAATTCAGGGCGTATATCATTCTGCTGAACTTGAATGATGGAAATTTCATGTGGGAGGTATGAATTTACTACTTTTAATGTGTTGTCCGTTGTAAATACTTATGTACTTAATATTTTTGTATCGAGTATGTTTTCTGTAGGTACAAGAATTACGCCACGAGATCCAGAAGTCCAAAGAGATGAAGTTTGCACTCGACGTATACTCTGCAATAGATAAAAACAATTACGTAAAATTCTTCAAGCTCGTCTATTCAACAACTTACCTTAACGCATGCATATTAATGCGATACTTTGTTCAAGTCAGAATTACTGCTATAAAAACGCTCTTAAAGTGTTATACTTCTCGCGCTTTCAGATCTACGTATCCCTTGGGTGAACTCAAGCATCTGCTCGCCTTTGACGACATAGAATCCACTACAGATTTCATGCAAGCTTATGGTCTCTTTATTAACGACGACCGAACACATATAGTATTAGAAAAAAATACGTTTGCTCTTCCCGAGATCCCGTATGTGTTGGATAGGTCTTTGAACGTCATCGAATCTAAAAGGGTGTGCTCTGTAGGGAAAATAGTGTGTGGAAAGGAATTACCTCCCAAAACGTTTGAACAGCACATGCCTCAAAATAGTTTCGATACAAGGGGGCACCTCATGTACGAAGATTTGCTGGAAGAGTCCGATCTCGATCAAACAGAAATGCAATTCGAAGAAATCGCGCAAGTTCCCATTTCAACCGACAATTTATCTGTCACAAAGGTTGATAGTGGTAGCATACCTGATGTTTTCCAACAACCTACAAAAGAAAATGTCTTAGGGAGTATCTTTGCCCCGGCAAAGCCAGAAGTAGTTCCGATTGTTCCCAAACAGCCACCACTGGGTTTATTTTCAAAACCAGTAGAATCCCAGAAATCAGTTTTTGCTAAAGACGCTCCTAGTATTTTTGGAGGTACCACTGTTACGAAACCAGTCCAAACGGACTCGGGATTAAAGGATGAAACTGATTCGAACCAGTGGAGCTCTTCAAGTTCCAATATTTTCGCTTTACATAGAGACGATGCAGTGCTAGCAAAACCTTATCCTATTTTCGGTGGAGCGGCAGTCATAAAACCTCTTGAAAATATTCCAACAGCTGCCCCTAAAAAGGGTGGTTTTCATTTCGATTTACCTGTAACGACACTACAACAAATTAAACCTAATGTGTTGTCTGCACCAATACAAACTCCTCAACCTTTTAGACAGAAAATTGATGTTCCTCCACCCCCAGTAACTTCTGTTGCTGAAAATTTGAAAGAATTGGAAAAGAAAAAAGAGGAAGAAGAAAGAGAGAGAGTGAGAAGAGAAAAAGAACAACTGAGGAAGCAAGAGGCAGAAAAAAAACGGTTAGCGAAAAAAAAGAAAGAAGAGGAAAAATTGAGAATGATAAAAAAACAAAAACAAGAGGAAGAGCTGAGGAGAAGAATGGAGCAATTAAGAAAGGAGGAAGAGTATCGGAAGAATAAGGAAATTCATGACACCGTCGGATCAATTTTAAGGAACATCGTTAAGGAAGTAGATGATAAAATATGTCTAGAACGATTGCGTGATATAAAACAGAAAATGCGAGATCGTACGCTGCTGAGAATAGTCCATAAGTGGCAACAAATTGTACTGAAGAACAAGAGGAAGCGTAAAGCTATGGACTGCAGCCCAGTTTGGGTGAACACGAAAACTTTGGAGCAGTGCGCAGAAGAGCTATACACCACGTCTCAAGAACTGACTTTAAAATTGAGGAAGAGATACAAGTACGGCAAGGCTCTGGATATCGAACCCATAGAAGAAGATAAAATCAGCAAAATTAACTTGTTCCAGTTGACTTACTCATCTCTCAACCAGCGTTTCTTCGATTTCAAAGGCACGTTACAGAAGAATATTTTCTGGAAGGTCGAGATTAGTTTACCGGATCATTATGAACTGAGAAATGGTTTGATTCGGATTGAGGACACATTGAAAGACGCTTTTAAGTGGGAAGACAGAAATGGGACTATAATGTTGGTCGAACAGACTAAACCGAATCCAATGCAGTCGATTACGTACTGCATTGAACGTCAGCGGGGGTTGTACGTTAGATATGGGGATGCGCACGGTATAATTTTCATTGCCAAAGACTTCAATGCTCTGTTGCAGCGTAGGATCCTCGAAAACTTGAAGGATCTTGGCGTATTCACCAAAGTACCTATCGTTGTTATCCTGCAAGAATACAGGGAAGGGGAATGTAAGCTGCAGAGTCTCATAGAGCAGAACATTGTATCCGACTACATAATCCTAATCCAAAATATAACACCTCGTAGTCTGGTCCGTTTAATTGAAGAAAGTTTATTATTTTTAGCCAGTAAAGCAGAGAAACCACCACCTCTGGAACTGGACACCATGAGCGCTTTCCTGAGAAAATACTTGTGTACTGAAATATGGAAGAGAGCAAACAGCTTTGCCAAATGGAACACGTATTACAAATCTTCCCTTCGTGATCCAAATATCGTCATCTGTTTATACAACGAAGCTGTGGAGAAGTTGACAAAAATCGTGCTGAATAAGTCTTGTTTCGAATATCCTAGTTTTCCAGAGGTGTTCAAAGACTACTTGCAGAGTGAAATACCTGATTATCTACCTTGCAATTATTACTATTTCCCCAAATTTTGGAAGAGCGAGATGTATGTTTCCAAGTTAGAGAAGATTTTAAAGGGTTTCGCGCTGCCAAAATGGTCAGATAAGTGGCCCCCGAGCAACGAACTAGAACTGGAAGTTAACGTTTCCAAATACTGCACAAAAGTTTTTACAGAACCTGAAAAACCATTCTATAAAATTATGAGTGTTATGTTAAGAGACCTAGATCCAAACGTTAATTTCGAAGATATGAAAAAGGTGCTGTGGACTGACGTTATTGAAGTACTAGCCTTGGAGAAACTAAAGGAAACAAATTTGGGTCTATCCGGCACTTCGTTTGAAACAAAGTCAATTTTTAATCAGTTTGTGGTAGTATACGACGTTAACACTTTAGAGAATTATAATAAAAGCGACTGGTTTTACGTAGGCAACCCGATGATTAAAAAATATGTTGAACAGAAAATGAAGCATGAGAAAATGGAGGATAAGAGGGACAGTGAGACAAAATTGGAGTTAGACTTGAGCATCGACTTGGACAAAACTATTAGCGAAGTAACTAACCAGCTAACGAACAAACAGAACAACCTACAGTTGAAAAAGGAATTGGCAGAGTTTAACGAGATGATTAACGATTTAGAAACCAGTATTAAGATTCACAAAAAAATTTCGTCAATGATTGGAGATAATTTGAGGAAGGCCATCGCTGAAAATTGACGATTAATTTACAAAACCACATCGCAGTAATTTTAATCAACAACCTTTTGTACCGTTTTATTCTGCAAAACTTGAATAAAAATGTATTTTTTATTTTTTCTCCATTTGCTATTATTTTTTTAAATTTAAAAGTACAACTGTTAGTTATCTGTTCTTTCTTTAAAAACTTTAAAAAACGTTGGTCAGTAGTCAGAGATGAATTATTACAGCACTTGACTAATACATTTTGTGAAGCCAACCATATGGCAGTTTCTACCAGTGATCAGTGGTTCCTGCTTAAACTAGTAATAAAAAAATTAGCCAATTACATAACAATTCTCTACAATTTCGTCTGTTCGATTGACTCGGGAAAAAAGTAAATTAGACCTACATTTGCTCACTGTTCTTGTATTGAAACCTCTTTCTCCTCAAAATGAAGATCTTTTTAATTAGTAAATTCACTTTGCTTCGGAATTAATGCAACGCTAAAAATAGACCCCTATTTTGATCCAATCTTTTTTTTTTTTTATTATACATAGGTTTATTCCACAATTACGATGCTAAGAAATAGGAGATATGAGAATTTTATTTTTCTAAAAAGGACCCCGCAACTATTTTTATGGTCCCGGTCGAATGGTGCGAAACTTTGCCGAATGATAGGTAGTCCTCAATGTGTCAGTCAAAAAAGTCCATGGGACCTAGGGCTGAAAAACTACTGTTCTGAAGCTACAGCCTTCTGAAGTTCCACGTGCTCGATGACTATAAATAAATAAAAAAGGCGTGAAAAATTTTTTAAAAATTTCAATATTTTTGTCTTGGCATTTTGCATTTCAATTAAAAATGCGCGTATAAACAACATACAAATGCCAGACAAGTTGAGCTGTTTGAAAATGTATAAATGAATTAAAAAGTTAACGGAAACTTGGTTTCTTTTTTTTTTTCTAATTTAAACGATTTATTTTTGTCTGGCATTTTGCATTTCTATTGAAAATACATATTTGTACTTCAGGTTAAAACGCCAGACAAGTTGGGTTGTTTGAAAATTAAAAAAAAAATCAAATTAAATTAAATAATTGTAAAAAAATTAATGAAAACTTCAGTGTCTTTTTTTTGTCTGGCAATTCGTTTTTTAATAAAAAATACATTTACAAACTCAAATTAAAAATGTCAGACAAGTTGGGCTGTTTGAAAATATATAAATAAATAAAGAAAGTTGTAAAAAATACAATTTCTCATTTTTTTTTCCACTTTTTCCCTTTATATTATAAGCTGTAATTACTTGGGAAACATACTCAAGATACTATTTCCAACTATCAGATGCTGTCAACGGAAGTGACTTACCTAGACAAGAAAAGCTGGAAAATAGGAAAAACCTTTGTAAATTTAAAAAATTCAAATTTTAAATCATATCGAATTAAGAAATAAAATTGCAGGAAAATGTTATTTAAAACATGAATTTTAAATCAATAAAAGTGCTTATTTCAAAATTTTGTAACTCATAAGGGTACAAGTGGCTTATATCCAGTAAAATCACTGTGCTGCGCAAGCGTATCTCCATGAGATACATTCCCACGTAGTGGAATTCAAATATGATTTAAAATGTGAATTTTTTGAATTTACTATGCTTTTTCCTATTTTGCAGTTTTCTTGGCTAGGTAAGTCACTTCCGTTGACAGCGTCAGATTCAGTAGGAAATTTTATGTCAGAAATAGTATCTTGAGTATGTTTCCCGAGTAATTACAGCTTATAATATAAAGGGAAAAAGTCTAAAAAAATGAGAAATTGTATTTTTTTACAACTTTATTTATTTTCGAACAGCCCAGTTTTTAATTTGAGTTTGTAAGTGTATTTTTTATTAAAAAACGAATTGCCAGACAAAAAAAGACACTGTAGTTTTCATTAATTTTTTTACAACTATTTAATTTAATTTCTTTTTAAATTTTCGAACAACTCAACATGTCTGGCGTTTTAACCTGAAGTATAAATATGTATTTTCAATAGTAATGCAAAATGCCAGACAAAAATAAATCGTTTAAATTAGAAAAAGAAAGAAAACAAAGTTTTCATTAATTTTTTTGTAACTTTTCAATTCATTTATACATTTTCAAACATCTCAACTTCTCTGGCATATTTATGTTGTATTTATACGTGTATTTCTAATTGAAATTCAAAATGCCAAACAAAAATAAATCATTTAAACTTTAATATATTTTTTACGAATTTTCTTTTTCCTTTTCCAATTTTGTGACAAGAAATATGGGTATTAATTTTAAGTACCCGAGATACCAGACAAATAGTAATCACTGAAAAATGTTAAAAATTTTCACATAATTTTCCACAGAGAAACTCGACTCCAAACATTGGAAACCTTCTGGCAATTTATTTTTATCATTTTCATAACAAAAATTTTCATTGTTTCGATTGCCAGACAAAAAGTAAACGATGAATTTTTTTTCTTGCNTCTGCAATTTTTAATTTGAGTTTGTAAGTGTATTTTTTATTAAAAAACGAATTGCCAGACAAAAAAAGACACTGAAGTTTTCATTAATTTTTTTACAACTATTTAATTTAATTTCTTTTTAAATTTTTGAACAACTCAACATGTCTGGCATTTTAACCTGAAGTATAAATATGTATTTTCAATAGTAATGCAAAATGCCAGACAAAAATAAATCGTTTAAATTAGAAAAAGAAAGAAAACCAAGTTTACATTAATTTTTTTGTAACTTTTCAATTCATTTATACATTTTCGAACATCTCAACTTCTCTAGCATTTGTATGTTGTATTTATATGTGGATTTCTAATTGAAATTCAAAATGCCAAACAAAAATAAATCATTTAAACTTTAATATATTTTTTACGCATTTTCTTTTGTTTGGGACAATTTTTCCTTTTTCCAATTTTGTGACAAGAAATATGGGTATTAATTTTAAGTACCCGAGATACCAGACAAATAGTAATCACTGAAAAATGTTAAAAATGTTCACATAATTTTCCACAGAGAAACTCGACTCCAAACATTGGAACCATCTGGCAATTTATTTTTATCATTTTCATAACGAAAATTTTCATTGTTTTGATTGCCAGACAAAAAGTAAACGATGAATTTTTTTTTCTTGCAAGTTCACCCCTATGAACCACCCTTTTGGCTATTTAAAACCCTCTGGCATTTGAAAATTGTTAGGCACATATTAATGTCTATTTTTGCATCAACTGCCAGACACTTTAAGATGAGTGAAAAACTAATTTTTTTATGCAAAAGGAAATTAATTTTCCAAATTTTCAAACACATGTCGGTCTTTAAAACCACCCTTATTTTAATTAACTAACTTACTTTTTTCAGACCTGAAAATGCCAGACATTTTTCGATGACACCACACCCATGTGCGCTAGCTCACGGTCTATTATATTAAAACGCTAGTTTATTGTAATCTTATCGGTAATAAAGAATTATACCTGCCAGACTTGACGTTGAAAACATGCTCCAAGAAATATTCTTAAATTGATCAAAAAAAGATTAACATGTGGCAATGAATATGTATCAATGTGAAACCGTTAATTTGCTCTCATCGATTTACATGTTTATTATCGTTATCTTAAGTTTTTACTTGTTTGTAATAAATTAGTACGCTTTAATTATTAATTAGATAAACTAGTCTGATGCAAATAGAACTGGTGCGGCTTTACAGGCTGCCTCAAATATTGGAAGAAAATAATTGATTCTTTCTTGAACCTTTGTAGATGGTGAAATAAACTGATATTTTCATAAAATTTTTTATTTTATCATAGTTATTGAACTATACAAAATGAACAGATGAAATCCAGTTAAGCAAATCAACTTTCAAATTGAGGAGGCCCATATTTAATGACGAGATAATTTTGGTGCGAAGTGCGCATTGATCAGCTTTAAAATATGCCAAAAATAAAGTTTGTCCCTCTTTCTGCTTCAATTAAGGATATCTATTTAAATAAAAAAGATACGTCTCTTTCTACTCTACTTTATTTACCTACTTAACAAAAAAGTTTAAATAACAAGAAATAAAATATACAAAAAAGTATGTTATCATCTTTAATACTTCATCTGATAAAGTGTAGATGGCATACAGAATATATTTCATAATGGAAAAGCCAAATATTGACTACAACCTGGGTAATATGTTCTACTAGAATTTATAGCACTAGGATCGCCTCATCCTTAAGCCAAATCTGCAAAAAAAAAAAGTGTAGTGTCCAATGCAAGAAAACTAGGTAATGGAATTCGATAGACACACTAGTTAGTTAAAAGACTTAATTTAAAACTGAAATGCACTTACGGTTTCTGATTTTGCACTGTTGGATAGCTTCATTGAAACCCTGGCATAATGTCAGATCGGGTTGTGTTGCTGCGCATTCCAAGAACTGTTTGATCTCCCAAGCGCAAGGTCCAGTAGGCTCAGTGGACTGTTGTTGACTGTAAGCTTGTTGGGAATATTGCTGCTCGGGTGCTGCAGCAGATTGGGCTGGAGCTTCACTTGAACCGCCACTAAACAAACCTAAAAAAGCATTATTCATATTAATTTTTCCAAAAAATCAAGTTTAAGGAGGGGTTTTCACTTGTAAGTCATTTACCTGTCATTGCATGTCCAACAGTGTGTCCTATTGCTGAGCCAACGGCTACACCTCCTGCTGTAGCAGCCATTTGCCCAAACAAGCCGGGGCCCTGTGAAGGTGCTGCGGCTGCAGGTGGAGCAGCAGCAGGAGGAGAAGGAGGAGCAGTCCTAGCTGGAAGGTTAGTATGGCTCCTTAAAAACAAAAAATAAAGTTATATATCACACACACATACCATCCACATAACCTCAAAAATATTAGGATCTGTTAATCTAGTTACCTTGAAGGAGACGGTGAAGATCTACCGCGTCTAGGCATATTTAATTATTTAAAATTTAATATTATCGCCCAAAAAATGTATAACACTATTTTAACTTCGCTTTTCAACGCCTTTCTAACGTCTGTTACGTAAATAACTCCGGTCAAATATAAAATTTATGACGTTTTCTAGAAAGTCATTCTGATTTTTTGGTCTAATTGTCGAAGTACGTCTGCGCGTTAGACAACGTTTGAGAAAGGATTGACGTAAATTTAGCTGTCTGAACTTGATGCAATATTACACGTCACAGGATAAAGATCGAGGAAAATTAAAAAGGTAGTGGTATTAGTGGTAGTGGTGGAGATACTGAATTTGCACAAAATTATTCTTCTAAAGTACGGTTACGGTACTTTGCAATTTACGTTGTATATTATTGCTGGATACACCAATAAATAAAAACAATTCTGTTTTGATACAGAAATACCTAGATTGCGCGCATTGCCATAAATGTTGCCAGAAAATGCTGCTTTGTCATTAGCATCATGTGATTCTTTCCTGAGAAAACTACTACCACAATTTATTTTATAAATAAATATAGTCAGAACACCTGTAATTTAATAACTACAAACAAAGTTAATTAAAAATAGGTCCTGACGTGTAAAACCTAAATTATGATGGGACTTGGAGAGACTTACGAATAATAATTCCTTCTGGGGGGTTGTGTGCTAGGAGGAGGTGATCTCCAAGGTTTGGAAGGGGCAGGCTTGCTTCTTCCCATTTTCTCCTACTTTTTAATTTGAGGTATTATGGTTCTGAAGTTTATATATGACAATTGAAGTCAAAAAGTGGTGAAATTTTGCGAAATAGAAACTGAAAACAAAGAAACAATCTATAAATTATCTATCTCATACAAATAAAATGCTTTTTATTATTAACATATTTAGTTTAAAAAAGGCACATAAAAATGATACTGTTAAGTGACATCTATTAATTGAATTTCGCACATTCACTTGCTCTTAAATAGATATCTAACAAAAATTAAAGGATAACTTGTAGTAATAAGCCATAGATGGCGCTGACATAGTAAATATTCTAAAATATTCATAGGCGTACGCAGAAAATTTGTTAAGGCATCAAATTAAAAAACTAATAAAAAATAACATCTTGGCGTATCGAATACAATCGCCCTCTGTACAACCTGCGTACGTCCATGTACCGAAATCAAAAATTGATATTTAAAAAACTGTATTAATTATCTCAAAATACCTACCTACAATACAATAAACATTTAAACATTCCTTTATCCCTTTGCGTTATAGGCTAGGTGGTCTTGAGGAGAGATTTTGGCTAAATGAAATCAAACATTCTTTTACATAACTTCGATAAAAATGATATACATCACTGATCCGTTTTATATCTGTTTCTAACGTTTTACTAAACCAGTACATCTCACAGTAGAATATCAGTTCCTTCTCTTGACAAATATTTATCTTGATTCTTACAACACTTTATGAAAAGTTTGCCTTTTTTGAGTTTTAAAGATGTCACTATTAAATTATTGCAAATTTTTGAATCGCAACTGTCGTACCTAATGTGTAAGGACATTTCCTTTGACAATATCTATTTTTTTTTGTCAACTCCTATATACAGGGTGTAACTTTAAAAGGAAATTTTTACAGACTCGAAATTTGCCATTTTTAGTGAATTTCGCTTTATTTTATGTTTATCATCCTCAAAATACGAAAATTGTTCGATTGTTTTCGTAACGTCACTGCAAATATAAATTTTTGTGTCTCTTGTAAAAGAAATGATGTCGTCAGATAATTTACAATATTTAACTGCATAATTTATACGCATACTTTTATTCTATCTATCTTTATCTTCTGTTTAAATTTTTGTCAAGATAATGTTACTCATTAATTTTATTTAAAGACTATTTTATTGTAAATTATATGTGAAACAAACAAAATGTATATTTTGTAATAGCAATAATTATCATTCACTTTTCTAGGTTAATTTAATCTAGTAATTACAAAAACATAAAACTGTTCTAGGATTGTGACTAATTATGTCTAATGAAAATGAAACTGCTTTTGCCAACGATAATTCCATATTCTTTCCTTAAAATCATGAATTTGGCAGCTGTGATGGGTTAATTTTTTAGAATGTGTAAACATTTTTTAAAATCATTTCAAGTTTTTAATAAAAAGTATTTGTTACTGTTTTCTAAAGCACTGCGTTTAGTTTGTGAATTTGTGTCAATGACCTTTGAAATTGACCCAGTTTAGTTGAACTACTCGTAGTATCGAACCACCTTATAATTAATTATTATATTTTAGTTCAAGATTTTCTAGTACCATATGTGCCCCTTCATTTGAAAACACCCTGTAGACTAATAAAATTCAAATTAATTATAAATAAGTTAGAAATAGAATGTTTCACTAAAATGAAAAAATAAACTTGAACCGATGCTAAATGCATTTGCTAGTGAAATTTTTCACAACATTATATTTCCATTGAGTTTATGTGATCTTGTAAGTAAAATAACATCCCTTCTGCCGCCAAATTCCTCGGATTTAAATCAAACCGCAATTATTTAATAAGTGAAATTTATTAAAATTCATATTAAAAATAGAAGAATATACATTTGTCCCTTACACTACTTTCAAGCATATTTGCCTAAGTTGAAATTAACAATTCAAATATATTTACTTTATAAAAAACGAGAAATTTCAAAAACACGAACGAAAAATATGCAAAACAGGGTGCGCAGGAAACGGAACAACATTATTTCTTCTCAACAGAATCCAAGAAAGCCTGGCTGTCGACGATTAGTTTCTGAAGCCTCTCCTTGGTCGCTGAAGTTTGACTCTCCTTCAGTTTCTCCTTGGCCGATTGGATGTTGCAGCGATAACCGGTGACATTGTGGAAAACTCTTATATGTTTGTCCCCGGACACCAGTATGTACTTACCAGTTGAATCAAACAGCAGACATGTTATATTTCCTAAAAACAAGCACATATTTGTTACAAGAGATATTCCGGGTGATTCATTTGAACATGGCAAAAATAAAATCTTTGAGAAATTATCATAAACGCAAAAAGGATTGACATAAATTAAAATTACATACATCAGAAACCACAGTGTCGTCTATGAAAATCTTTTAGTTAATTATAAATCATATAGAAATAAGCACTATCAGTAAAAATGTAGAAATGTTTGCCCTTTACGTTCGAGACATAGTTCTACTTGACGAATGAAATGGTCGTATATGTGATGGCACTACTTGTCTCATTGCTAATGAATTGTTTATGGATGGCATTATCGATGGCTTGCACTACGCCATGACCATTATCAATTGGTGCTAATACAGGGTGCTAGAAGTTTGACTGTCTTAATTTTGCAGATGATAGAATACAATAAAATAAACAAAAAACCTTATATACAGGGTGTTTGGTAAGTCGATGCATTCCTTGCAGGAGGTTATAGTACAAGCGATTTGTGATATATTTCCTTAATATACCATATTCCGAAAACGCTTAGTTTCTGATCTAGAGGGTGATAAAGTTTTAATAAAAAAATGGAAATTTATAAATATTGCGGAAACCGCTCAAAATATTTTAATGAAATTTTATATGCTTTGACAATTAACAACAATACATGTTTTACGATAAAATATTGTTTTTAGTTTCACCAGTGGCGTGCGCACAGGCACGTCTTTGGATATTTTTAAAGAAAAAAATGATACGCTACTGATTTTTATTAAAATAAAAATTATTTTTCAATTCCTTGTTCAATTTGGAAGAGTAAAAAAAATAAAATCGATTTATTGCATGGCGTATTCCAGTTTCAATAATTTGAAAAATAGCAGAAATTATGCACTCGGCTTTTTTTTGTACCAATTTTATTACAAAAAATTATTATTCCTCGCAGTCTAAAAAATTTGTATCAGTTTTTAGATTCACTATTCACTATCTAAACAAAAATTAGCAAGTTGGCTGTGCACTCGTTTTTATTATTATGTGACAAAATTAATAATAGCTGACACTTTGAGCGTTTGAGTGTGAAGCAGTTAAGTGCATAATTTCTGCTATTTTTCAAATTACTGAAACCGAATTACATGCAATAAATCGATTTTATTTTTTTTTTACTCGAAAACGGTGCGTCATAAGAAAAACAGTCGAGATACCACTTCTCTTTCAAATTGAGCAGAGTATTCAAAAATATTTTTTATTTTAAGAAAAATCGGTGCTGTATAATTTTTTTCTTTAACAATATCTAGACATGCTTGTGCGCACGCCACTGGTGAAACTGAAAACAATATTTTTATCATAAAACATGTATTGTTGTAAACTGTCAGAGCCTGTAAAATTTCATTATAATATTCTGAGCGGTTTCCGCAATATTTATAAATTTGCATTTTTTTATTAAAACTTTAACACCCTGTAGATCGGAAACTAAGCGTTTTCAGAATATGGTATATTCAGGAAATATATTACAAATCGTTTATACTATAACCTTCTGCAAGGAATGCATCGACTTACCAAACACCCTATGGTCCTAAACTCAACCATTTTCGAGAAAAAAATTATCAAAATCTCCATCTTGATGTACAAAAGTTTGATTAATTAAGGAATATTGACACATGCGTGCGTAGAATAGCATAAAATACAATGTTTATCACTTTTTTAACTTCTTAATTAACTGTTTAATTCCAGAAAATAATTAGCATTGTAATAAATTTAAAATTCGATAAAATTCATATCGAACAATGTGACAACAGCGGGGTGGACAACACGAGGTACTAAGCTGTCCAGCATTACGCAACTGGGTTGGTATCTGGAATTCGACCGTGTCGGAGTGTTTTTTGAGTACCACTATTTCATACATACATTTTCTTGAGGTGTTTTCCAGCGAGTGCGCGAAAAATGGATTCGAAGGTGTCGTGCGAGTGTCGAAAATGGTGATGGACATTTTGGGTATATGTTGTAGTTTGTTTTGTACTCGTGCGCTTAAAAATTACTAAATTTTGCTTTTTGGTAAGTACCTAAATTATTTTCAATATGTATTATTATTTGGATGACGTGAATCTTTGGGTACTTTAATTACGTATTTTTCAAATTTATAATTTGATTAAAAGTTAAGTTCCTGATTTAATGGACTCATAATTACTAAAATTCAAGCTAAAATTTAAGCACAACACT